GCACCCCAAAAACCCCCGGGACCCCAAAATCCCTCCTCGGAACCCCAAAATTCGGATTCGGCACCCCAAAAAACCCCCGGACCCCAAAAAACGCCAAGACCCCAAAATTCGGCTTTGGGACCCCAAAATTCGGGTTCGGCACCCCAAAAAAACTCCAGACCCCAAAATTCTCCTCGGGACCCCAAAATTCGGCTTTGGGACCCCAAAATCTTCCTGAGGGCCCCAAATGCTCCCAAAAACACCCACGAATGCCCCAAACCCCTCGCAGACCCCAAATTTTGGGGGGATGGAGACCCCAGACCCCAAATTTTGGGGGGATGGAGACCCCAGACCCCAAATTTTGTGGGAATTGAGATTCCAGACCCCAAATTTTGTGGGAATTGAGACCCCAGCCCCCAAATTTTGCGGGAATTGAGACCTCAGACCCCAAATTTTGAGGAAATGGAGACCCCAAACCCCAAATTTTGTGTTAATTAAGATTTCAGACCCCAAATTTTGTGGGGATGAAGACCCCAGACCCCAAATTTTGTGGGAATTGAGATTCCAGACCCCAAATTTTGGGGGGATGGAGACCCCAGACCCCAAATTTTGGGGGAATTGAGATTCCAGACCCCAAATTTTGGGGGAATTGAGATTCCAAACCCCAAATTTTGCGGGAATTGAGACCCCAGACCCCAAATTTTGCGGGAATTCAGATTCCAGACCCCAAATTTTGGGGAGATCGAGACCCCAGCCCCCAAATTTTGCGGGAATTGAGACCTCAGACCCCAAATTTTGAAGAAATGGAGACCCCAAACCCCAAATTTTGTGTTAATTAAGATTTCAGACCCGAAATTTTGTGGGGATGAAGACCCCAGACCCCAAATTTTGTGGGAATTCAGATTTCAGACCCCAAATTTTCTGGGAATTGAGACTCCAGACCCCAAATTTTGTGGGAATTGAGATTCCAGACCCCAAATTTTGAGGTGATCGGGGCCCCAGCTCCCCAATTTTGGGGGTCTGGAGGCCCCAGCCCCTGGTGACCCCCCGAAATTTGGGGTGCCCAGGGGTGGCTTTCAACGACGTCTACGCCGCCTCCAAGTTCGCGGTGGAGGGGCTGTGCGAGAGCCTGGCCGTGCAGCTGCTGCACTTCAACGTCTTGTGAGTGCCCCAAAATCATCCAAAATCACCCCAAAATCGGCCCGAAATCATCCACAAAATCATCCCCCAAAACCAGCCCAAAATCATCCCAAATCATCCCAAATTACCCCAAAATCGGCCCGAAATCGGCCCGAAATCATCCACAAAATCATCCCCCAAAATCAGCCCAAAATCATCCAAAATTACCCCAAAATCGGCCTGAAATCTGCCCAAAATCATCCCCCAAAACCAGCCCAAAATCATCCAAAATTACCCCAAAATCAGCCCGAAATCAGCCTGAAATCAGCCCGAAATCATCCACAAAATCATCCCCCAAAACCAGCCCAAAATCATCCAAAATCACCCCGAAATCAGCCCGAAATCATCCACAAAATCATCCCCCAAAATCAGCCCCAAATCATCCAAAATCATCCCAAATTACCCCAAAATCACCCCAAAATCAGCCCGAAATCGGCCCAAAATCCCCCCAAAGTCCCTCCAAAAACACCGTAAAATTATCCCCAAATCACCCCAAAATCATCCCCAAAATCAACCCAAATCACCCCAAAACCAACCCGAAATCATCCACAAAATCATCCACAAAATCATCCCCCAAAAACAGCCCAAAAACACCCCAAAATCAGCCCAAAATCATCAGCCCGAAATCCCCCTAAAATAATCCCAAAAAATCCCCCCCAAAATTCCCCAAAAAATCCCC